GCTTGCTGGAGATTTTTATGGCTTCATAAATTAGTTAAATAAGATCCGAACTGCTCTACCTCCTACATTTGCATATATGTGCCTATTGACTAATGATGACACACTCCATGATTTTTTCATGTAGTTCTTTAAAGCAAGGAATCCCTTTGCCAGTTCCTTTCATCTGAAATATAGCCTACAGCACCTGGTGTGCATTCATTGTCTCCCACCCAACTACTAACCAGGACTAAATCTACTAAGCTTCCAAGATCTGAGAGGATCAGGTGCTTTTCAGTGCGATTGAAAGGCAATACATACACAGGTATTTTTCAGGGTAAGCAGAATGTGGCAGCCTCACACTTGACTGCTCGCTCCCACATTCCTTGTTCCTATCCCAAAATTCATATTGTGATGTTATCAATCCTAGGAGCAAACATTTTCAGCTGTCCTAATCTATCCCCTGAAAATCCCACGGCTTCTTTGACGGCACATATACACCAACCATCTGATGCAGTTTCAAACCTGCACTGAAGAAAGTGGTATCACTGTGCAGATGATTACACAGGGAATCATAGAATTGAGCTGGAAGAGACTTCATGGGCCATCCAGTCCAACCCCCTACCAAGAAGCAGGAATATCACATTCAAAGCACCCCTGACAGATGGCCATCCAGCCTCTGTTTAAAAGTCTCCAAAGAAGAAGACTCTACTGCACTTCAGGGCAGAGAGTTCCACTGCTGAACAGCTCTCACAGTCAGGAAGTTTTTCCCAACTGTGAGAGCTGTACAGGAGTGGAAACAGTTCCTGGAACCAGATTAAGGTCCTGAGGGTGATGACACAAGCCACAGAGCACTGATGAGTATTCAGGACTTTCATCCGCACTCTTTCATGGGAGTTTGTTGTTGTCTGGCCACTGCAGCTTAAAGCTGGCTTTGAAATAAATTAAATGGTCAGTGGAGATGGGGCCAATGTTTCCTTTAAGAGAGGAGAGCAGGGAATAATAATAATAATAATAATAATAATAATAATAATAATAATAGTAGTAGTAGTAGTAGTAGTAGTAATAATAATATTTTTGGAATTTATTCAAATCTCAATCACAGAGATAAAGACGGGATACAAAGAAATGTAATTCTAATAATAAAAATAATTATAATAGGGCAATATGAGGGCCAGGTTGCTTGTGATGCTGTGACTAGGATCTTGGGGGCTGTCTAGTTATTAAAATGTGCCCCTTTTGGCCTCTGCCTGGATAATGGAACTGTACCATGTTCGAAATAGCAACCTTCTTCAAGCCTCCACTCAGGCATGTAGCCGGGGGGGGGGGGGCCTCGGGGGCTTCAGCCCCCCCCCCCGAAATTCTGATGGTGGTTCGCGAAAAGGCCTTACTGGTGCATTATTTAAACTGTTATGTTTATTCATATCATGATCTGATCACCCTACTCAATATATCCCATATGCATGGGGCTATTGGGGTAATGATACAAAAGGTTTGCTAGGCTAGACCCTCTTTCACTCAGACTCAGCCCCCCCCGAAACTCAGCCCCCCCAAACCCCCCCTGAAAAAAATTCAGCCCCCCCCCCCCCCCCCCGAAACAAAATCCTGTCTACGGGCCTGCGCTCCACTAGTTATTTGTTTGAATGTAATTCAGGTTGCTTACTGTATTATATATGTGTATATTACTATGCAGTTTTCCTTAACTCTATGTTGTGGGAGGGGCTACAGAGCATGTGACCAGATCTTGGATTGTTCAGGACTCAGACTCCATTTAACAATATGCTTTCAGATGCCAGTAGAAACAGTATGCGTTTAGAAGGCTATAGAAACAGAATGCTTTACAGAACTGACTCTATTAGACTCTCAGACCAGAGAGATGCTTTAGACAAGTGATTCTCAACTTATGGGTTCCCATGTGTTTTGGCCTACAACTCCCAGAAATCCCAGCCAGTTTGCCAGCTGTTAAGATATCTGGGAGTTGGCAGCCAAAACATCTGGGAACCCACAGATTGAGAACCATTGCTCTAGACTATGAACTGTTGATTTTGAGAAAAATGCCCTTTGTTATCTGCACAGAGAAACTACTTTAAATTCTATCTATAACTGGACTGATAAGCAATGTACCTGTATGCTGAATACATGAAGTTTGTTACTAAACCAAGCATATTACTTTTAATATGCTTATTTTTGCCTTTTGAGAGCATGATTGAAACCAAGATGTTTTAAGGGAGAGCAGATGTTTTTTCAGCAACTGAAACAAACACTTCTGTTTGTTTCACTCTCTCTCTCTGCCTATGTTTTTGTGCACTGGCATATCATTGTCCCTAACAGTTCAAAGAGATATCTAGGTAGGTATATCAGTTTAACAGTTGAGAAGCCTGATTGCCTTGTATGTAGGTAAAGTACAACTCTAAAACTCAAAGTCAATGCCCACCAGACCTTTCTAGCATTTTCTGTTGGTCATGGAAGTTCTGTGTGCCAAGTTTGGTTCAATTCCATTGTTGGTGAAGTTCAGAATACGCTTTGATTGTAGGTAAACTATAAATCCCAGCAACTACAACTCTCAAATGACAAATTCAATCCCCCCACAACCCCACCAGTATTCAAATCTGAACATATTGGGTATTTGTGCCAAATGTGATCCAATGAATGAAAATACATCCTGATATTTACATTGCAACTCATAACAGTAGCAAAATACAGTTATGATGTAGCAATGAAAATAATGTTATGGATGGGGGTCACTGCAACATGAGGAATTGTATTAAGGGGTCACAGCATTAGGAAGGTTGCGAAACACTGCTCTATCACATGTAGTTTTTGCAATGAGGCTAATTGAATAATTAATGCATTTGCACACTGATATCAATTAGATTGAGCCCCCGGTGGCGCAGTGGGTTAAAGCACTGAGCTGCTGAGCTTGTTGATTGAAAAGTTGCAGGTTCGATCCCGGGGAGCGGTGTGAGCTTCCGCTGTCAGCCCTAGCTTCTGCCAACCTAGCAGTTCGAAAACATGCAAATGTGAGTAGATCAATAGGTACCGCTCTGGCGGGAAGGTAACGGCGCTCCATGCAGTCATGCCGGCCACATGACCTTGGAGGTGTCTACGGACAACGCTGGCTCTTCGGCTTAGAAATGGAGATGAGCGCCACACCCCAGAGTCAGACATGACTGGACTTAATGTCAGGGGACTACCTTTACCTTTACCTTTTTATCAATTAGATTCTATTAATATCAGTGTGTAAATCGGAGCCTCCAGTGGAGCAGTGGGTTAAAACCTGGCAGGACTGAAGACCGACAGATCACAGGTTCGAATCTGGGGAGAGCACGGATGAGCTCCCTCTGTCAGCTCGAGCTCCCCATGCGGGGACATGAGAGAAGCCTCCCATAAGGATGGTAAAACACCAAAACATCCAGGCGTCCCCTAGGCAATGTCCTTGCAGACAGCCAATTCTCTCATGCCAGAAGCGACTTGCAGTTTCTCAAGTTGCTCCTGACATGAAAAAAGTGGTAAATGCATTAATTATTCGATTAGCCTCATTGCAAAGTACACGTGTACACGTGATAGAGAAAAAATAAACACAGATCTGAATTCAGTGCAAAAAAATTCTACAAGAATGCCCTAAAATTATATCTGATGAAAAATACTTTTTAGTGTGTGTTGTTTTTGTTTAACTGTGTTTTAACTTTGACGCTCATCTCACAAATACTTAACTTAAAAAAAAATAACATTCTTATGTGTTAGTATTTGCCTTGTTTCAAAAATACTATGTCATGCCATTGTTAGCCACCTTGAGTCCCTATGGGCAGAAAGACAGGATACAAATAATAATGTAAATAATTACCATAGTAAGGCTCCTGGAAGAGCCCCCAGTGGTGCAGTGGGTTAAACCGCTGAGCTGCTAAACTTGCTGACCGAAGGGTTGCAGATTCAAATCTGGAGAGCGGCGTGAGCTCCCACTGTTAGCCCCAGCTTTTGCCAACCTGGCAGTTCGAAAACATGCAAATGTGAGTAGATCAATAGGTACTGCTCCAGTGGGAAGATAATGGAACACCATACTTTGGAGGTGTCTACAGACAATGCTGGCTCTTTGGCTTAGAAATGGAAATAAGTAGGGCTGGGCGGTTTTGTTTCGTTAATTCGTAATTCGTTAAAAATTCGTTATTTTTTTTATAACGAAGCGATAACGAACCATTCTGGAGCAACTTAAAAACGAAACGAATTTTTAAATTAGTTTCGTAAATGCTTCGGATTCGTTATGTATTCGTTTCGTTATCGGTTTGAGGTCGTTTCGTTATTATTTCCGCATGTCTGGGGCAAGTTTTATAGTTGTTTTTTGTTTAATTAGTGAAAAAAAATTATAATATCACACCAACAGTCAACAACAGAGGGAGAGGGAAGCTTCAGAAGTTCCCCCTGTCCCATTTGGAGGTTTTTTAGCGTATTGTGCAGTCATGTCCGCCATTAACGAATCGATTCGTTATTGTTTCGTATTTGTTTCGTTAATGTTTCATAATTTTTTTTACATTTACGAAATTTCGTAAATATCGAACATTTTAAAAGAAAAATTTCGGAATTCTTTTAAATATCGAAACGCAAAAACCCCCCAAAAACGAATCGATTTTAGAAACAAATTTTTCCGTTGTTACCCAGGCCTAGAAATAAGCATCAACCCCCAGTCAGACATAACTGGGCTTAATGTCAGGGGGGGAAACTTTACCTTTACCTAAGACTCCTGGAATATCTTCTCCTGTTGCCAGCACCCTGGCATTGAGGGTGGCTGGCTGGGAGGAGAGAGTGGGAAGCAAGGGGGGGGGGCGCTCCTTCCACCTTGCAACTGGCTTTTCTGTGGAGAAGCTGTCATTGTGAGCTCTGCGTGTGAACAGTGCATGTGTGTACATAGGGAGGAGGGAGAGAGGCAAGGAAGGGCCGCGTTGGCTTGGCCTTGTCCTGCTCCCCCTCCTCTGCTCAGGCTGAGCCCTCCTCCTCCCCCCTCTCCCCCCTGCCAGCCTGCCTGCCTGGATCTGGGCTGAGCTGCTGGAAGTGAGGCGTGAGTGGCGCTCTTCTCCCCTCAGGGAGGGCAGGCAGGCAGGCAGGAGGAGGACGAGGACGAGGACGAGGAGAAGGAGCCGCACCGCTCGCCCCTTGTCACATCGCATCCATTGGCCGCGTGTGCACGGGAGCGCGGCGCCCAGCTAGCCAGCCAGCCAGCCTTCGCCTCCTTCTCTCCCCTTCCCTTCCCAGCAAGTTGTAAGGAGGAGGAGACGCATCCCTCTCTCTCCCTCTCTCTCTTTCCTTCCCTCCACCTTCACCACTTCCAACTTTTCCCAGTGTTGCTGCGCTACTAGGGAGAGAAAGCCATGACGGATTACAAACGCGGCGGCGAAGGGCGCAGCCGAGGCAGCCCTTCTGAACTGAGCCTGAGGTAGTGGCCGAGGGCAGGGGAGGAAGAGGAGGAGGAGGAGGAGGAGGGGGAAGGACAGGGAAGGAGCCAAGAGGGCGGCCTGCTTCCAACCACCCCCCAAGACCCCGAAACAGGTAAGGCGCCGCTCCGACTTGCGGAAAGTAGCCCTCGCTTGGTTTCCTGCCCTTTTCCACAGAGGGAAAGGCTTGCGTTTGCCTTGTGTCTCACCTGCTTTCTGTTTGGGAGCCCTGAAGGCACCACCCTGGGCGTCTAAAGCGCTGCTCTTTCCCGCCCTCACCTTGGGAGCAGCCCTGACAGAAATGAGAGAGGTCTACACCTCACTGCAGTTGGGCTCCCACTCTGGAGACCTCAGCCATAGGTGACCTTGGGTAAGTCGCACTCTCTCAGCCTCAGGCAGAGGAAGGCAAGGGCACAGCTGAACCACTCCGGACAGGGAAACCCCCGGCTGGGGTGGGTGGCCCTAGGAAACCCACGAAGGCACCACAACAAAATGGGCGTGTAAAAGGGATCTCCTCGAGGGCCGTTTTCCCCACTCGTGAGTTTGTGAACGAAGGAAGAAAATAAAAGGAAACACTTGGTTGCAAATAGGCGTACCTCTGTTGGAAACTCCATTTCTGCTCACTTGTTACATGACATTGCAGTTACTTGCAGTTTTCTTCCTTCATTCAGAAACTCAAGAGTGGACAAAACAATCAACAGACCATGGGATCATTTGATACAATCCTTTTGTTGTAGTGGTTGTGTGCCTTCCTGTGGTTTCCTAGGTCCGCCCACCCCAGCCTGGGTTTTCCCTGGCAAGAGTGGTTCAGCTTTGCCCTTGCTTTCCTCTGCCTGAGGCTGAGAGAGTGCGACTTACCCAAGGTCACCTAAGAGGACTGGGAAACAGGCAGACTTTTGAGTGCATCTACACTAGAATTAATACAGTTTGATAGTACTTTAACTGTCATGGTTCTATGCCAGGCACGGGCAAACTTTGGCCTGCCCTCCAAGTGTTTTGGACTGCAACTTCCACAATTCCTAACAGCCTCAGGCCCCTTTCTTTTCCCTCTCAGCCACGTAAGCTGGGAGTTGTAGTTTGGTCATGTTCTTTTGTAGAGATGGCTAAAGAAGATACTATAAGAATACACCTCCCATGAGCACTGAGCCATGGCTGTTAAAGTGATGTCAAGCTGCATTAATTCCACAGTGTAGACATACCCTTTGCGCAAGTGGCATCCCATCGATTTCAGATTTGGAGAAGCAAGTGTTTTCATCCCAGGGTTTTAATGCAGGTCAAGAGGATGTCAGTCTCTATGCAAAAGAGGTGTAGCCAAAAGCTTAAGTGGCTGAGGGGCAAAAGGAAGGGGCCTGAGGCTTTTAGGAATTGTGGGAGTTGCAGTCCAAAACATCTCAAGGGAAGGGCCAAAGTTTGCCCATGCTTCTGTATGCTATGAGATCCTGGGAGTTGTAGTTTGGTCATGCTCTTTGGTAGAGATAGCTAAAGAAGATATTATAAGAATACACCTCCCATGATCCCATTGAGCCATGGCAATTCAAGTGGTGTCAAGCTGCGTTAATTCCACAGTGTAGACGTACCTTTTGCGCAAGTGGTGTCCTATCAATTTCAGGTTTGGAGAAGCAAGTGTTTTGCTCCCAGGGTTTTAATGCAGGTCAAGAAGACTTCAGTCTCTATGCAAAAGAGGTATAGCCAAAAGCTTGGCCCTGCTTAGTCAGTGGGAGGAGTACTAAATCTCTATTCAACTATTTTAGCTCCCATTCTTCACAGCCTGATTTATGCATATTGCTTCTTCATTGCATATCTTTTGCCACTTTCCTACAAAGAAGGGTGAAATGAGAACACCGAATGGTGTTTAAAGTCCCTCAAGGAGAGCAGCACAGCAGATTTCTGATTGAAATATGTAGACTAAAAATAAAATCCATAAATATTTGAATAGGCATCTCCTCACCTGTTAAGAAAGGCTGAAAAATGGAATGCCAAGAAAGCCTGAATTCTTGTTTCTACCTCCTTGTCTTCTATGTTGCCCTTTCTACAATTGTCTGTGTTTTGGAAATACTCATTGACCTTTTGAAATAATCCCCACTAGAAGCAATAAGGAGAAATTCAACAGCAGGTGGCTTTTCTTGAAGAGGGGTGGCACCTCTCTCTCTTTTTTGGATGTGTGTACTTTTATGTCTGACATGGGTGACAGGTTCCCCTCTTGATGATGGGAAAGGGCTCTTGGAGGATTTTTCCCCCTACCATGCAGCTGTTCAAGATTTACAGCTTCTATTGGGGAGTTGTAAACATAGAAGATGGTGGGCACACCTCATATGGTTCCCATTTTTTATTACTGACACTTTTGACAGTCAAATTTGAGCTTTTGGCACCATGAAGGTGTTGGGGAAAATCTGAACCTGTTAAATTACAGAGAAATAACTTAAGTATCAGAAAAAGGTGTAGCAGTGTTAATTTCCAAAGCTACCTTGCCACAGTGACAACCTTTTGTGTCCTAATGAAGCAGTCTTTTTTTAAAATTTATATGAGAAAAATAGTACATTCCTTAGCATTTTCACTTAAAGTTCTCACTCCTAGGAATGAGAAAAGCGGTATATAAATACTGTAAATAAATAAATAATATAAATATATATAAGTATATAGTAATTTCTAGGTTGGAGTCAGCCTTAGTCAGTCAATTACATAGGGGGTGCTTTGAATGCAATTTTCCTGCTTCTTGGCAGGGGGTTGGACTGGATGGCCCATGAGGTCTCTTCCAACTCTATGATTCTATTATTCAGTTAGAATTACTTTAATTACAGTATGCTTTCTGCCAACCTAGCAGTTTGAAAACGTGCAAATGTGAGTAAATCAATAGGTACCGTTTCTGCAGAAGGTAGTGGCACTCCATTCAGTCATGCTGGCCAAATGACCTTGGAGGTGTCTACGGACAATTCTGGCTCTTCGGCTTAGAAATGGAGATGAGCACCACCCTCCAGAGTCAGACACGACTGGACTTAATGCCAGGGGAAACCTTTACCTTAACATTATGGTCCCCACAGGTTCATTCACAAATGATTCAAAAAATATCCTCTCTACAGTGGAAGGGTTTTTTTTTTAGGTAGGACAATATGATTCTATAGTATCCTTCCATCCCAAGTACAGTAGAGTATCACTTATCCAACATGAACGGGCCAGCAGAATTTTGGATAAGCAAAAATGTTGGATAATAAGGAGGGATTAAGGAAAAGTCTATTAAACATCATATTACGTTATGATTTTACAAATTAAGCACCAAAACATCATGTTTTACAACAAATTGACAGAAAAAGCAGTTCAATACATGGCAATGTTATGTAGTAATTAATGTACTTACGAATTTAGCACCAAAACATCGCAGTGTATTGAGACAGCTGTGGATCCGGGCAGGAGGCAGACTGTGTTGGATAATACAGAACATTGGATGAGCGAAGGTTGGATAAGCGAGACTCTACTGTATAATCAAAATGTAGAGTTTCCTGAAATCCACATTTTCAGGTATCTACCGGGGAATTGGTCTCCTGGAGATATAGGGTACATTTATTTCAAAGGATTATGTCGAAGTGTGGCTCAACTTGATAGTAAACTCTTTGTGTTTAGCTCTGAATAAGAGGGGCAAGCAAATATGCTCTGTCTTGGTAGTGTGTTACTAATACAAATTTCTTTGCTGTGTAAAGAGCTTGAAGAAAAGTTTGGTATTAATTTTCAAGAAATTTGGCCCCTCCCTTATGTAGATGTGGCCACCAGTTTAGGAGCTTGAAGTTGCAGTGTGCATGTGTGTTTTTCTTCATTCAGATATGCCTTGTACAAAGGGACCAGGCAAAGTTGCAGTTCAGCACACACTCCTTCAAATCTTTCTTCTGCTTCGCTGCATGGCCAGAGGCAATACTGTGAGCAGTAAAACATCCTGATCTTTTCAGGTCACAGTGCTCCATTAATTGCATATATTAATGCTGCTATAGTCCTCATTAACTAGTAGCCAAATGAATTGGGGTTTGGAATGCTTCAGTGACTTTTGGGATGAAACATCAATACTGAATGTCCACAGTATATGTTTTATCTGGACAGCTTGCTCAGACTGGAAAATTGGATGATTTGATGGAGCCTGTATTTTCTAAGAATTCTGATTATACTGACTATCCATTATACCATACAAAAAGGAAATGTGTTGGTTCATTTGATAGGAGAGGAATTCACTGAATGGATTTGAATCTTGATACAGATGAGTGACTCCTAATTCCACGTGCAGACGGGTGACCCCTAATTCCATAATCGACTAGACTGTGGTTTGTCACCATGGAAGGAGTGGTTAAATCCCTCAAGTGGAACTCAGTGAATGATGAAACTCAGGAGGGAAAAAGTATTTGGGGCCTTGCCTTAGTTATTTAGTTTTTACTCCAAGTTCCACTCAGGAATTCTTAGCTGTGGTCAGTGTGAACTACAAACTATTTTGTACTAGTTAAACTGATCCTGGTGTATAAATGCAGCTGAATGAAGGCAGGTGGATGGTATGGCTCTGAAGGTGTAAAGTGGACAATACTACTTCAGACTTCAGGTGGGAAATACGTTTGTATATTCCCTATCCTTGAAAAACCTATTGTAAATTTAAATCAAGCACAGCAAAAAGTGAGCAGGGGTAAGTTGTTTCACCCATGGTTTATTTGCTAGGAATTTTAATTGATTTATTTACATCAGGGATAATTTAAATGTTGCCCCTCCCATCTGCCTCCTGATGTGTTGCGATCTTGGCCTCCCTAATGCTCTGCTACTTCATTTCACTGTATGTAGATCATGTGTGTGCGTGCGTGTGTAGGTGTGTAGGAAATGGGACACAAATGTAGATTCCTTTCCGGTTTTCAACAAATGAGATTTTACAAATTTATTTTAGCAGGCAGAAGTTACAACAAATAAAGGAGACAAGCAGTAACATAACTAACTTGCAGAAATTGAGCAAGCTATTACCATTAGATACAGTTTTATCTTCAAATTCAATAGATTTTGGAACAATCAACCCAGTGGCTGCTGTGCTGTTGAGAGACATTTCTGAGCAGGCATTCTCTCTCTCTCTCTCTCTCTCATTCATATATATATATATATATA